AAGTAGTAGTGGCAGAGGCACCGCTCAGGCACAAAGAGTGGGTTTGCTGTGAAGCGGGACAGGCTCGGTTGCTTTTACTTTTAAGGAAGAAAGGGAGAGGACAAGTGGGAGAATGGTCCCATATGCTGCTGGAGATAATGAATAGGAGTTGGCGGACCGCGGGACTTAGCTTTTCTTTTCTTTTATCCATTTTCATGTTTTTAAAATCCTGCTCTTAACGCTGGTGACAAACGGCAAACCGAGCGAGGCGCTCAGAACAGATGCCTTTGACTTAAGGAGCGGACGGCTTCCTTTGAGTTGATGTCTGTCGAGTTTTTGTGTAAAATGTTACCCTAATAAACCCTGGAGCTCTCGGGCTGGGCTGGGCGGGCATTGGATGCGCCATGTCCCCCCAAGAAGTTCTCGGATCGCTGTAAAAATGAAAACAAGCAAACAGCACACACACAAAAACAACAACAACAGCAAAAACTTGGATGGAATTTTAAAATTCAAGCCAGATGCGCCGCCTGCTACTATTCTTGTAGTCAAACTCCCTTTAATCAAGTCAGAAACAGAAGCAAAGGGAAACTACCCATTAAATATGCAGAGAGAAAAAAGTTGAGAACCCCCGCCCCCTGGCCCCCAGCTTCCTCGCAGCCCGGGATCCCAGAGGTGGCTCCGAGCTGGGCTGGCGGCCAGCCTGGGCCCTGGAGAGCTACTGGGAGCCTCCCAAAGCCCGGGACGCCCATGGCTCTTGAGGGAACTTCTGGGAGTGTCAGGCCCAGGCCAGTTAGGTGCCAGGGGCTGGGCTGCAGAGCTGGGGATGCCAGTTTGGAAAAAAAAAAGTCTGAAAGCTAAAAGCAGACTGCATATCCCCTTCCTCATTTCAAACAACACAATCCATCTCAGCTGACTTACATTCTTGTTTTCTGTGTAAGGTTTTTTGTCGTCGTCCCCCAAGTGGTTTAACTACATGACTCAGTTTTATCAATCAAGTGCCATTGTATTATTAATCCTACCTAGGATTGTTGGCCTATGATTAGACTCTCTCGGGATACTTTTCTACCATTATTTTCTGGCTTTTGCTTATCCATTTATTTGTCTAAGTAGTTCTTACCAAGCACCTATTATGCTGTAAGCACTGTTAAGTAGAAGAGTACAGAGGTCAACAAGAGGTGGCCCAGCCTTACACAAGGGCAGAGTACTATGGGGACACAGACCTGTAGATGTTATTTGAGGGCCCATCTCAAGCTGAAGGAGCAGGTGGGAAGCAGCCAGGCTGTGGAAAGGGTAGGGAGGGTTCTGATGGAGAGGTGAGTGGAAGGTGCAAAGGATAGGAGGAGCTCAGAAATGCTTAAATTGCTCAAAGGGTGGGATGAGTGTGTGTGTGTGTGTGTGTGTGTGTGTGGGGCGGGTAAGAGTGGCTGATGTATTTTGGGGAAGTCAGGAGAAAGTTTTAGTCCATACTAAAAAAGTTTGGGCTTAATTATACAGACAGACAATAGGGAGCTACTAAAGGCCACTTCTCCCCCACATCAGCAAGGGATGGCTATAAGATGACTGTGAAAGAGGGAGCCAGGGGCACACTGTCACCAAAAAGCGTGAAGATTAGTCCACACATGAAGGCCACTACTTAAGATGGGTGTACTTGTTAGCTAGGACCTGGGTTTCAAGGTCTGGGCAGTTCTTACTGAATGCTATTCTTGCTAAATGCTAAAATATAGCACAGTATTTTGCAGATGCAGTTGTCACTGGATGAGCTCAACCAGAACCCAGCCAGGTAAGTGTAGTCAACTGCAAAGAAGGAATCGAAATGTAATTGACTAAATAGTATATATTTAGAGAGAAAAACTTGAGAACCCCCTTCAGAGAGACAGCTTTGGATGTGAATTCCCTGTTTACTTGCTGCAAGTAAATAAAACTACCTAACTACAACCGCATCTCATTCTTTAATAGAATACCCCAGGTGGCAAACACCTTGAGTTTGGCAACGTTACTTGAACTACACATTAACAGGACACTATGAATTTCATCACCATGCATGTCGGTGTCTCTAAAGAATGTGTAGTCATATCTTTACCTGTTAAAACAAAATGACACTGCTCCAG